TTTGATGAAGCCCACGTGGGACGCTCAATGTTAAAAACAATCAGGAAACGACAAATGCAGTTTTTGGGACACCTGAATAGACATAAGGGTCTTGAACGCTTTCTCCTGGTCTACAAATATTATGTTTAGTTCCATGTTGTGTTCTATTGCCCTTTCGCACATTTGTCGCAGGGCAAATATATTGCGTCGGTGTATCCTCTTCCCTTGCTAAATCCCATTTGGGCCTCACTCAGAATTGTTCAACTTTGTGTCTTGTTCGCCATTCCAATATCTTGGCGAACATCTTGCCCACATGGCTTAGCAGTGAAATTCCTCTATACATTCCACAGTCTCTCTCACTTCTTCTTCCTCTGGGGGACTTGGTAAAAACTCTGTGTTTGTTTACTTTTGAGTGATGTTCAAAAGTTCTGAGAAATATTCCCTCCATCTAGATTTGATTTTGGAGCTGTTAGTAATGGGGTTTCATGTTTTGTCATTAACTATAGCTGTTGGGTCGTACTGTTCTTCTCTGGGCCTAATTGATTTTATACTTCTTTTACAATTCTGAAAGAAAGCAGAGAAAAACCGTTACTTTGTATCTGAGTCATTTGAAAAAAAGCCAAGCGTGCGTGCTTCTCTTGGACCTGTTTTGATATTGTATTCTAAAATTCACTTTGAGCCCTGAATTTCTATATTAACTGGACCCACTGCATTCATCCATGATCTCCGTTCTCAGTGAATGGGTGGTTGGCGGCTGTTCTGGTGTGATTTGCTCCTTTTTTTCATATCAAATATCTGTCTGCCGTCTGCACACCTTTTTTTCATCATTGCTTTCGGTTGAGGTTGTTTTCTTTTTAATTTTTTTTTACAACAGGATTGTCTGTACCTTAGAACTGTAAACACACGTAGGAATTTCTACCAACAATGATCCAGTCCAGTTTGTCGAAGACAGCCATCCATTGTCGAGAAAAAAAAGTCACTGTCTTTAGCAGGTGGCGTGGCGGTCATACACAGTGGCATTAATAATAATAACAATTACATTTATATAGCGCATATCCATGCTCAAGAGCATGCTCTATGCGCTTTACAACATTAGTCAATATAATGTAAAAAAACCCAGCAACACACAAATATATTATATTTCTATATTTTATATATATATGTGTGTGTGTGTGTGTG